TAGGAAGTTGCTGAGAGAAAGCAATAGCATTTGGATACACATTTCTAATCAGCATTTATTTGATACCCTCTTGCCTTCGGCTTAGAGTTTAAAATATTCAGAATCCCTCTGGCTATTAAATACTCTAATCTAGATATTACTAGATCAAAATTTCTGAATCACCCTGTGAAAGACAAATATTTTTTCATTAGAAGCAAACAATCAAACAGGCTGCAGTGACTTTTTTGGAAACTCAGAGGATGTGTGCAGGAGGGGGACCTTCCTTCCACCGGGGAGTCAATGCCTGCTGGAGATGCCCAGAATTTGCCCCCTTTATTTCCTGCCTGTTATCCTCAAATGTTTCAAAGCTACAAGGTGATTAAGAGCTCTCATAGGCCATATGAGGGTTTTGTTGAGATAGGTTGTTATTTTTTATTTTTATTCACCTGAAAAGAGTCGGACACGACTGAGCAACTGAACTGAACTGAACTTAATCACACTGCAGTCACAGAGAGTCTATGATTTGACCTCAGAAGACCAATGTTGATGTGTTATCTCTGCCACTAACACAGCCTGACCGTGGACAAATCACTTAACCCCTCTGAGCTCCAGTTTCCAACACACAAAAAGAGAGTACTAACTGCTCTGCTCCTAATCTTAGTTTACTGCCTAGCTCAATACCTTTATTTATATGGAAATGTTTGTAAGCAGAAAACATTATAAAACTGAGCGTTTATTCTCCCTCTCCTTCTCTCTTTCTCTCATTTGTTGTCTTTCTCTCATTTGTTGTCTTTCTCTCATTTGTTGTCATCACACTCCAACCTGGAGTAAAGAAATTGCACAAATTGATCTTTCATAAGAGTGATCCTCCAATACCAACAATCTCAGCATCCTCTTCAGTTGTTAGCTCTTAGATGTATAAGTCACATCACCATATTTGAAGGGGAACAAGCCTTTCCACTTCTTTTCTAGAAAAACCTATATGTTTCAGCTGAAGTCCCTTTTGCCGCTTTATCTAGCTCTGTAGCCATGACTTCTCTCCTATTACAATCTTTCCCTCCCTGCCTCCAAACATGCTCCAGCCATGGCTAATGTGGAAAAGTCTCCCGCTCAAATTGCCCCTCAGATGATGGAATTACATGGACTCATAGTAGCCTCTCTTCTAAACCCATCTCTATGTCACCTTCTATTAACTCTTCCCAGGGTTAGTGCTAAGATATAAAAACTGATTAATGTAAATGATTTGGGAGTTCTGAAGAAATGTAGGCAAATTTCTCTATCATCCTAAGCCTCCTTCTCCTCTTCTGTCCAATCGTAACAATAGTGGTATTTGATTTTGAACTTGTTAGCCAATTAAATGAGATGGAGCTTGTGAGGTGTAACACATAAATATACTATATAGTTGTTAATACTATTAAAGGAAAAATTCTCTCTTGTCGGTACATGAGAAATCAGAATTTACTTTTGACCTCTGATTATTGTCTGTGTATTTTTCTCATCCTTTTCTCCCCATGTTGCTCCTGAAGCCACCCCAGTCTGTTTGCTGTTTTTTTAAAACTTTGGTTAAAAATAAGTGTGATTTCGCTTTACTTCTAGTACATGAAGTTCCAAGACAACTGAATATAGCAATGTGAACGTTGTACTAAAAGTTACGAGAAGCTACTTTTACTGTTTATGCACTCCTTTAAATCAAAAGAACAAGATGTAAACTATTTTTTTTTAATGTCATCTCCTGTGCTTCAGGCTCCTTGGTGTCTTAGAAAACATGAAAGAAACTGATTTACAATCATTTTGGGCAAATTGCCTGTGGAATTCTGAGGACAGGAAATGAAAAAAAAAAAGTTCAGCACACACCCCCGGACATTCCACACAACATCTAGAATAAACAAACAGGTCCCCAGAAGGAAACCAAAACTTTTGGTCTTATATTGAGGAGCACTGTGAATAGCCTTTGGGAAGCATATACTGAAGATGGGGCTTCCCAGGTGGCACTAGTGGTAAAGAACCTGCCTGCCAATGCAGGAGACATGAGACATAAGTTCAATTCCTGGGTCAGGAAGATCCCCTGGAGGGCAGTGTAGCAACCCGCTCCAGTATTCTTGCCTGGAGATCACGTGGACAGAGGAGCCTACAGTCCATGGAGTCACAAAGAACCAGACCCCACTAAAGTGACTTAGCACGCATGCACACATATACTGAAGATGATGAACTTCAGAGAAAATCTTTCAAGAGGAATTGACCTCTTAAATTAATTTCTTTAATTAAGTTGATCTTAATTAAAGAAAACCCTTTTCCCTTTGTATTCCTAAAGGATGATGAGTAGTTTTAATTTAGGTAAATTCTGTTACCTGCATCAACATTATGAAAGAGGGGTACCATGTTACAGACCTGTACTTCTCAGACCTTAATAGGAGTCTGTTTTTCTGGGGAATTTGTTGGGATGTAGATACTGATTCAGGAAGTCTGAGGAGGGCCTAGGATTCTAGATCCCTCACAAGCTCCCAGGTGATGCAGTAGCTGCTGGTCAGCAGACTACAATTGGTTTTCAGGCACCTTCTTTGATAAAATCATTGGTAGTGGTTTTCTTCACCTTATCCATAGTACAGTGGTTTTCAACTCACAGTGATTTTGCACTTGTGTCTGGAGACATGTTTGATCTTCACAACTCAGGGCGGACTACTAACATCGTACAGCCAGGGCCCAGGGATGCTGTCAAACACCCTACTCTGCCCAGGCCGGCCCTCGTAACAAAGTGTTTTCTGAGCCAGAACGTCAATAGAGTCAAAGTTGAGAAATCCTGCTGTTTAGAGTACTATTTTTTTGTGTCTCTCATATCAAAAATAATCTGTTGAAAGTGTTCAAAAAAAAAAAAAACTGTGAGGAAAGAGTCGGAACAAGTACTATTTAGTTTGGAGCAGAGTGAACAGTGTTTAAAACTGTCTTCAAATACATGAAAAGCCATTATGCAGAAGATGGTAACCAGCTGTTCTCTATCGTCCTTGAAGAATGAACAGGAAATGTACATAAATGGACCTGTTCTACCCATCCATTCTTTTCCTGCATCTTCCACACCAGCCAGGCAAATCTCCCTCTGTGATCTTGTAACCATATTTGTCCCGTCCTGTACCTTATTTCTTGCAGAGACTCTCCCAGATCCTTGGGACACATTTTCTTCTGCCAAGTTGTATCTCTCCCTCTCCTTAAAAATCTAACTTGAAGATTTCCATCTCCATAAAGTCTTCCTTAACTAAGATGAAATAGTTGCCAGTCCACATCTATTGACAGCTGGCACATTTTCTCCTTCAATGTGTTATCTTTCATTCTATGAATATGTTATGCCCATATGTACTCCTTTGTGTACAAGGAGCTATGCTAGATTTTGAGAAAGGTTAAGAAAGATGAATAAGAGTTCCGCCTTTAAGTACTTTTCAAAAAATCTCACTACATTGTAGTTACAATGTAGGTAGTATTTAATAATTATTTCTATGAGGATTTTTTTTTTTAAAAGAAGAGGGCTTAAAGAAGACTCTATAAGTAAGTATACAGAACATCTTTTTATGAAGAATAATTTTCTCTAAGTTATGTACAATTATCTGCATCAGGTAATCATTTAATATTGTTACCAAAATTTGAAAGTTATACATTAGAGCCTGGAATGAATTGGAGTCTGAATTTATGTTATATTTATGGAAGAATATACAGTGAATAAGGAAGAAAATTTTTTCTGTTTACATGTAGCTGTAAAACACAAAAGAGTGAATTTAATCATCTCAATACACCTTATGATGCTGTGTGATTTTATAATAGCATATTCTTCGGGAAGAATTTTTAGTTACATCTAGGAGGGGAATACTTTGGAACTTTACAAGTATGCTTTAAAAACCAGTACCAAAGATGGAATTTGACACCATCCATTTGAGAGAATTTGGCACCACCCAGAAGCCTGGCCTGCTGCAGTCCATGGGGTCGCAAAGAGTCAGGCAGGACTCAGCAACTGAACTGAAGAACCCTTTTAGGGCTTCCCAGGTGGTGCTAGTGGTAAAGAACCTGCCTACCAACGCAGGAGACATAGAGATGTGTGTTTGATCCCTGGGTCGAGAAGACCCCCTGGAGGGCACGCCAGTATTCTTGCCTGGAACATCCCATGGACAGAGTAGCCTGATGGGCTACATTCCGTGAAATCTCACAGAGTTGGACACGACTAGAGCGACTTAGCAGTAGCAGCCACAGAGCCCTTTTAGAAAAGAATCTCACCAATAAAGGATTTCCATTATCTGAACTACAAACAAACAAACAAAAATTGAAGAGGTTTAACCCTTCATTGAATATGTAGTAAGTACCAGGCATTGAGTAAACTCTTTAGATGAATCATCTAATTTAATCTCAATGAATTTAGCCTCTCCACCTGTGAGGCTATCACCACCAACATAATAAGGAGACCTCAGTGTACAAGCTTCCATCCCCTGCTTGATTCAGAGATGGAGGCAGAGCAAACCTCAAGCCTGCATAGGAGGCCCTCTCTGGGTGGAAAGAGTCAGCTTGCCTTCCTTTTTGAAGCAGCAATGAGAAAGCTTCCTCTCTAGAGGCTGTAAATGGTGATGCTTGTATCTTCTAGTCAAAACGGGAAAATGAGGCTGTTTACATTTCATTAGTGGCCATGGTTTGATCTAGGGATGACTACTGGAAAACTATCTGTGACTGCATTAGTCATATGAGTTTCAGCCAGCTCCTTCCCACACATTCTGAAATCTTTGGTCTGGGAATGGTACAGATACTAAATTATTATGGGATTTTGTTTGAATGTTAATACTTACATTCTTTGAAGTCATTAGGTTGATTTCCAGTCAGTAATACAGTTAACACTGCAGACCTTTCTGGTTGTTCCCATTCTTTGAGCATCATTGCTCTTTTTAATAAGCACTCAGCTTTGAATGGTAACCTCAAGAATGCCTTAATAATTCAAAACATAATGGAATCTTAGTTAACTCCATGTAACTGGATGTTTGTTTCCTCTCTTAAAGTTGTTCTAGGCTTCTGTGTGTCATTCAATGTTGATGTGAAAAACTCAATGACTTTCAGCGGCCCAGTGGAGGACATGTTTGGATATACTGTTCAACAATATGAAAACGAAGAAGGAAAATGGTAAGTCAATGGGTTTTCTTGTTGTTTAGTTTCCTTACAAGGTAATGGAAAATATTATTTGGTTACAGTTCATTTTATGAATGAGACTTAGAATGAATCGTTTATGGTAGGAAATGTAGTCTAATCATTTGGTAATAGAATTTAAAGAGGAAAAAATCCTTGGCAGTACTAAGAGCTGTGGTTAGTGATTCTGTTGAAACCTGGGTTGACCTCAAGGAAGGGCCTTATTCAAAATAGTCAATTGTTTTGTAATTATGTTATTCTGGCAAGAGTTCTTTGTCTGCATTTTAGTCCAGCTGAGACTCAGCATGAGGTATATGAAAGCAAGTGAGATGCTGTCTTGGGAGCATTAGTATCACTTCCATAATATAACATGAGGCTTATATTTTTAGTACTTTACTTATCTATTGAATTTAGTCTATTATTTATAATGAATCTCACTGAATTTTATACACTTTTAAACCTCTTAATATTGGTTAAGTTCACTTTAGTATGATTTTTAAAGCATATTTAACTTTTGAAAACTATACAAAATTAATATTAGAGCTCTTTCACTTTGTAGTTAATATAATTTTTAGTGAGTCTTTTTTTTAAGTGGAGCTTGTATAAAAGGGCTTCCCTGGTGGTGCTGTTGGTAAAGAATCTGCCTGCAATGCAGGAGACCTGAATTAGATCCCTGGGTTGGGAAGATCTGCTGGAGAAGGGAATGGCAACCCATTCCAGTACTCTTGCCTGGAAAACTCCATGGAGAGAGGAGCCTTGTAGGCTACGGTCCATGCATTTGCAAAGAGTCAGACATGACTGAATGACTTCACTTCTTCACTTCACCCAGTTCTGGGTAAATATTCAAAGGAATGAAAATCAAGATCTTGAAGAGATATCTGCATTCCCATCTTCATTGCAGCATTATTCACAAAAGGCACAACTTGAAAGCAATCTAAATGTCCATTGACAGATGAATAGATTTTTTTAAATGTTTTGCATATATAGTAGAGTATTATTCTTCCTTAAATAAAAAGAAAATCTTTCTATTTAAGAAAATATGGATGAACCTGGAGGACATTTTACTAAGTGAGATAAGCCAGATGAAGGACAAATACGACAGGATGCCACTTATATGAGGAACCTAAAATAATCGAGCTCATAAAAGCAGAGGACAGAATGGTGGTTAAGAGGGGTTCAAAGAAGGGCAAAACAGGAAAGCATTAATCAAAGGGTACAAGCTTCAGTTAAGCAAAATGAATAAGTCCTGGAGATTCACTATATAGCACAGCCCCTATCGTTACCAGTCTGTGTTGGTTGCTCAGTCATGTCTGATTCTTTGCAACCTCATGGACTGTAGCCCACCAGGCACCTCACCTCTGTTCATGGGATTTTACAGGCAAGAATACTAGAATGGGTTGCCATTTCCTTCTCCAGATAGTTAACAATACTGTATCTTATACTTAAAATTTTGCTTAGAATGTAGATTTTTTTGTTAGGTGTTTTTATCACAAAATAATAGTAATAATAACTACTACTAGTAAAGAGGGAATTGAGGAAACTTTTGGAAATAATGGCTATGTTTATGGTATAGATTGTGGTGATAGATTTAATGGTATATACTTATCCCCAAACTCATCAATTTGTATACATTAAAGTGGTCATTCATACTTCAATAACGTTTGTTTTTAAAGTAACTCCCCTAGGGAAATATAGCTACTTGGGGCCAGAGCAAAAAACAGAACTCAAGTCTCCACTCAGTATCTAGGGCTGTTACGCTTATTAGAGCTCCATTAAAAAAGTAAAGGTTGATAATAACTATCTCTGTAGTTTTAGACTTTACATTTTAATGTGAATGAAAGCTCATGAGCATTTGAATGTATATATGTATATCAGATACTTTAATTCCATTCTGATGTCCCATGCTTACAATGATTTTATGGAAACGGTGTGAAAATCAGGGAAACAAAAACAGTGTGGCCAATTGAATTTAAAATTAAATGAACTAGAAATATCTAAGCTTACTCCTTGGAAGAAAAGTTATGACCAACCTAGACAGCATATTAAAAAGTAGAGACATTACTTTGCCAATAAAGTTTGGTCTAGTCAAAGCTATGGTTTTTCCAGTAGTCGTATATGGATGTGAGAGTTGGACTATAAAGAAAGCTGAGCACCAAAGAATTGATGCTTTTGAACTGTGGTGTTGGAGAAGACTCTTGAGAGTCCCTTGGACTTCAAGGAGATCCAACCAGTCCATCCTAAAGGAAATCAGTCCTGAATATTCATTGGAAGGACTAATACTGAAGCTGAAACTCTAATACTTTGGCCCCCTGATGCAAAGAACTGACTCATTGGAAAAGACCCTGATGCTGGGAAAGATTGAAGGTGGAAGGAGAAAGGGATGACACAGGATGAGATGGTTGGATGGCATCACCGACTGAATGGACATGAGTTTGAGTAAACTTCAGGAGTTGGTGATGGACAGGGAGGCCTGGTGTGCCGCAGTCCATGGGGTCACAAAGAGTTGGACACGACTGAGCAACTGAACTAAACTCAACTGAACAAATATCTAAATATTCAAATCTTTAAGGATGACATGGTAGCAACATACCATTCTAAAAATATCCAGGCACTGGCCATGCAAAATAAATTTAGTAATATGTTTGGATATTCTTAAGTGTTTATGAAATCAGATAGGATGCAGACATTTTAAGAAATGAACTATAAAATAACTGATATATTTGGGAGAACATGGATTTTGTTATTTTCTCCAGAGGTGGGCACCGGCATAAATCATATCTACTGGTCATATTTGGAAACTTTGTAACCTCAGATTTTTTTAAAAAAATCATCCTGATCTATCTCACATCAAGGATGCCTAAGTTAGTTGTTGGTCCATAACACATGCAGTCTGTATATTTGAAAAGTATTACTTTATATCTTTGGAAAACATGAAAAGCTAACAGAAAAGGCAGCCTATCTCGCCTTCACCTTTCAGCAGTTTCCTGTGGAGTGAAACCTTTATGTCTTTGGCTCAGAAACCACATGTTTTCTCAGTAGCAGAACACATTATACCTCTGATTAAATCCAGCCATTTTTTATTATGGTTAGCATGAGCTGGAGCATCCAAATAGTTGCACTGTGGTTTAGAAAATTTCACAAAAAATACAACTGGTTTAATAGTTTTGCTTTCAAGAGAAGAAAAGCCAATGAGCTCAGCATTGCAGAAGCCTCCAGAGTTAGTGGTGATCACTAGTATGGCAAGGCCACAGACAGATGGGAAAAAATGAGATGCTGATATGGGTTTTCCATTCTCTGTTGCTGTTTGCTTCCTTCCTTCCAGCATGTGCTCCCACTCCCTTGAGTGCTATCTAAACCAGGGGTCCCCAACCTTCTGTTAGGAACTGGGTCGCACAGCAGGAGATTATTGGTGGGTGAGCAGTGAGCCAGCAAAACTTCATCTGTATTTGTAGTCCCCCATGTTTCAATTACTACCTGAGCTCCACCTCCTTGTCAGATCAGCAGCATTAGATTCTCATAGGAGTGCGAACCCTGCTATGAACTGTGTATCCAAGGGTTCTAGGTGGCGGCTCCTTATGAAAATCATACTTAAACCATCCCCTTACCACCACCCTGGTCTATGGAAAAATTGTCTTCCTTGAAACTGGTCCCTGGTGCCAAAAAGGTTGAAGACCGCTAATCTAAGCATCCATTCTTAGGGGCTTCAGTGGCTTCAGTTGGCCTGTCTTTTCAAAGTAGATTCTTCCCCAAAATTTATCTGTACCAGTCTGCTTTTGGGGAAACCCAAACTAATACAGCTTATATCCTAAATGTCTCCAGAATTTGTTATCCTGTCCCTCTCTACTTCCTTAATTCAGATCTTCATTTCTCATTTACACTACATGTAAAAAGCTTTATAGATCAGAACTGATCATGTCTCATCCCTCTTTAAAAGCTTCAGCAGTTCCCAACTCTCTCCTCCATACACTAAATCCAAGTTCTTAAAATAGTCTATAAGAGCACATGTGATCTAGATCCTACTTACCTAGCCAGATTTAAGTTCCTCTCCATCTACACTGAGTTACTTGAACTCATTGAAAGAGCAGTGTGCATCCCTTCGTGCTTCTAAGACTTTGCTGACATTGCACCAAAGTCCAACCTATTCAGTATAGTAATAGCACATCTATATATTTGCTCCTCTGCTAAGTTTTAAGCCACCTAAAAAATGGTGTTTTATTATTTTGTATTCCAAGGGCCTGGCATTAATGTTAATGCTGAGCATGTAGGATGTTCTTAATAAACATTAATTAATCTATCTAGTTTCAACTTAAATACTTTCATAACACATCTACTATTTTTCTCCAAACTACTTTTAACTATAAAACTAGTTTAATCAATCACATTACAGAAGATTTTGCAAATATTGAGGGGGGGAACTCCCTAAAATCTAATCATAACTTCCTTAATATAATTTGTTTTTTGGTGTACTCCCTTTGAATCTGTGTTCTACATAGATACTGTTGTTCCATCATCTGAAAATATATAGAGTGATAATAAAAAAAACCAACACTTAGCACATGCTATGAGCCACATACTGTTTTAAACATTTTATATATAGTAAATCATTTCATGCTCTTGATGATTATGTCAGGTAGCTACTCTTACTATTTCCATTTTAAAGATGAAGGAACTAAGTAAAACTGGCTTGTCCTAAACCGTACAGCTAAGTAAAAGGTAAAACCATGATTTGAACGCAGGAAGTCTGGCACCAAAGTTCATGATATATTTTTTGGAGATTAAATTACTTAAGACAGAGAGAGCTCTTAGAAGGTGTAAATTCAACAAATCCAGACTATTATTACCATTGCTTTTATAAGTACATTGAATATAATTTGGTATCTTCTGCTTCAAGTTGTCATAGGTTTTCAATAAATTAGGTAGGCTTTTATTTCAAATTAGGTTATAATTTTTTATCCTACCATGCAGTCTTATTAACTATTGTTCTTTTCATGACTGCACAATATTCTATGGAATGACCCTATAGCAATTAATTAATCTTGCTGTTGATCACATTTCTTTTCATCTTTCATGGTTATATATAACCTATAAGCATTATCTTTATGCATCAAGCTTATTTCCCCTAATTTAGGTCATTTTTTAGGATAGATTCCCAGAAGTAAGAATTATGTGTTAAAAGATTTGAACATTTTTATGGTTATTTATGTATATCAGAAATGGCTTTGCAAAAGGCATTATATCACAACCATGTTTTAGGGATTCTGCTCAACAATTCAATATTTGCAATTGTTGTAAAACTCATTTCCATTAAAAATCCCTTCCCTTTTATATATGGTAAACTTTCAAATTTTGAAAAATTTAAAAAGGTATGCCCAACCCACCTACAGCCCTTTACAACCTTTCAATTCTCCTTCAGACATTTTTTCCCCCACACTAAACCTCCCCAACTTTCCCTTGAGCATCTCTGGTCTGACAAAATTACCAGGCTGTGAACTGTCTGAGTCATAGCCTCCTAAATACATTCCATTGTGCCTATGTCTCTCTTAATTTGGAGATTCCAGACATGGCCCGACAGTGCAGAGCACAGAGGGGCTATCACTTTCCGTGACCAGGGCATCTATTTCTAGCAGTGCAGCCTAAGGTCACATTAGCCTTGTTGGCTCTAAAATACACTATTGGCTCCTGTTTTCTCGCTGTCAACTAAATCTTCCATGACTTTTTCACACAAACTTCTGTTAAATCAGGTTTCTCACATTCTGTTCTAATGTAGATAATAGTACACAGATAAGTGAAGCTATTTACATAGGTTCTTATTAAATTTACTAGTTTAAATTTCTTGTTCCCGAATATTAGGACATTTCTGCATGCCCACATAGGTATACTGACTTACTTGAAGAATACTTTTATGCTTTCTGTGTCTTCACTTAAGTCATTAACAAAGATATAGACTAGGTCAACCTCAAGTGCAGTCTTAGGGTACATAATTAGAGTCCTTTGGCTGCTAGTAATCAGTGCCTCGGATGTAGCTGTTTAGCCAGCAATAAATGAGCAGCTATGGATCCCAACAAGTATCTTAACATTCAGCTACATTCATCCATTGTATTCCTGAAGATATTATAGGGGACCTTGTTAAATGGCTTTGGCTAGCACTAAGATAAATCATGATTACACCTTTCCATTACTTATTATTAGAATGTTTTCATATTTCTGTCTAAAAAAAGAAGTGGTTTTAACCTGTCTCATAACTATCTCTATTGTCTAAGTACTTACAAACTAAGCATATACTAACATTAAATGTGATGATCTAATATTTCTTTTCCCTGACTTCTCTATGAAATTATCAGTTCCTCTTGGGAAAAAGTCATTTATACTTCCATGTGTCTTTTGTAAATTAAAATAGCAGCAGGCTTAACCAATAATTATGCTTTCATCCCCCAAATTAAAAAAATATATTAAAGTAACATGATACAAGAAAATAGAATATTCTCAAGTCTCTCTCCTATGTATTTTATTGTTTTTTTTTATTTAAATCAATCTGCAATTTGGAGAAGACACTCTGCTTATTTTAAATAACATTAAATTACTGAGGGTGACTATTCTGTCTATGGAGCTACTGTCAGTCACCTTAGAACTAGTCATACAGTAACAAAAATAAAATGTTTCTCATTATTCAAAAATGTTAATTGACTCTTTTAACTTCCAGGGTGCTTATTGGGTCTCCTTTAGTTGGCCAACCCAAGAACAGAACTGGAGATGTCTATAAGTGTCCAGTTGGGCGAAGTGAATCATTACCTTGCATAAAGTTGGATCTCCCAGGTATGTAAAGTCAAAATGTTAAAGTCTGATCCTAAACTATGCCCAGCATTCACACTGAAAGTAAATTTCAACCAACTCAAGAAAATACCAGAAGTCATCTATAAAAATTCTTCAGTTTTTATCATTCACATATTTTTATCCCTTCTGCCTTTCATTTGCTTTAGAAATTCATCATAGAATAGTCATAGACTTAGAAGGTCTAACTAGTTCTGTAACTTGTAACTGCCTCCATTATCCAGAATCCTTTGTAAACTCGGCAGTAACACAGAAGAAATTTTCCAAATAAACCTATTCATCACATTTACTCCACAAAATTTAGCTTAGTATTTTTTTAAGAAAGTAGCACACAAGGAAATTGTAATAGAGAAATTTAATTTTTTAAAAAAGAGAATAGCACGAGGTAAATTTATATTGAAATATATGTATTTGATAGAAATACCAAAGTTAGAACATGACTAGAAAATTCCTGCTAGATCTGTGTAGGAATTAGAACCCTGTCAGTGTTCTGTACAGTATTAAGTACCTTGGAAATGACTCAGCCTCTGCAGGTTTTCTTAAGATACTGTATTTTTCAGTTGTTTTTTTATTCAAATTCCTGCTTGTTCATTATGAACTTTTTTTTTATATTCGAAAGCATAGCTTTAATAGCTGCTTTAATATCCTCACTTGATAATTACAACATCTGGAATATCTCAATGTCACTTTCCATTTATTACCTTTCTCTTGAGGTTAGGCTACATTTTCCTGTTTCTTCTTATGTTTAGTAACTTTGGATTGTATCCTGGATTAAACTTTTGAATTATAAGTGTGGAGATTCTAGATCTTGTTATGTGTCTTTGAAAAGTCTTATTTTTTTTGCTTTAGCAGGCAATTTACTTGGCTGAAGTCAATTTCCAAAGAGCAGTGGAAGCTCTTAAAATCTCTACTCATTTCTTCTAATTTTTTAGCTGGGCTGTGTGAAATTTATTCTGCACATATACAATTCTGGTCATTTAGATATTTGGAAAGAATGTATCTGTGTATATTGAAACTCTCCTTTTGTGGCTTTCCTTTTCAAAATGCCCCCAACCCCCCCACCCCCCTCCCCCCCCCACCCCCAGCCACTTGACATGACTGTCATTGGCCCATTCTCTGTGCTCTGTTTCTTCTAGACAGGAAGACTGTGCATCCTACTTGAGGTTTAGCCACTGCCTCAGGCCTTCCCTTGGGGAAAACAAACAAACACAAAAACAGGAAACTCAACTAGTGTTAATCTCCTCTTACAAGTATAGACTCCCTTCCAGTTTCTGCCTGGTTTGGATTGTTTTCCAGTGCCTTCGGATGATTGTTCCTTTTTTTTTTTTTTTTCCTTTTCCTAAAGTTTATAGTTGTTTACAAAAGGGTTGTTCTAATAGAAGCTATTCCTCCATTATTGGAAACTGGAATAGAGTTTCAAAAGTAGCATGGAGATTGGCTACGTCAAGAGCAATAGGAAAGTTTCTGCTATAGTTCCTAACATCCCAGGAATGCTCAACCCTAGTATTAAAACCTCTAATCCAGATTATTCAAGATCAGTTCCAGGTGCTTTCAAAGCAAACCAAACTGGATTCAGAGACAAAGACAGTGTTCAGATTAGGAGGTCACTGTGACCATTCAAGAATCAATCTCTGTCTCCATTTCCCATGTAAACTTATAGTAAGAAAAAATTATAGGCATGAACAGTAAGACGAGTCTTTCTTGAACTTGAGTTTTGCCACTTTTAAATATTCTAACACTCTGCTAAGCAGGGTTTAGAAGTTTTTGCCTTTCCTGTCTAATCTTTTTTATTTTTTTCCTGTTTTAATGAGAGTGGAACTTCTTTTTGCCCAGGTTTGCATGCTTTAGGGCCCAACATTCTTATTTGTAATGTCAAATGTAGTCCCTTTATTGTGTCTTCATCCAAACATCCTGACCACTGCTCTGATCTTGCTTTGGTTTTCTTTGCAACCCTGTTAATGTCCCTGTGATGATGAATATAATGATTAAAATCTTGTGTTTGAGTTTTCTTTTCTGGTCTTCTACCCATTTTCCTTCTTCTTGCCAGAAATCATTTTGTCATTGGTCATTTTTAACACGTAGATATAACATATAAGATGAGTGTGTACTCATTTACTTTGTATCTACATTCTGAGACTAAATATTTTATTTATTTTAATTAGGAAAAAATGTGTGAAAGGCTGTCCCACGTTCTGATTGTCCTGATAGTTGTGCATTCTTTTACAGTTCAGCAAAAGTATTTGAGACAATGATCCAGACAAAGCTTCTGAGACAAAAGCCAGTTTTCTGCCTTCGCTTGCTTATTATACTCCTTAATAATACTTCAAAGATTATTTAGTTGAACCAAAAGAAGAATGTCCTATGATATGAGCAAACAGAAGGTTTTTATGGGAAGACACTTAATTTTACTTTGTTTTCCACTCTCATAAAAGTTTCTTCTATTTTTAGTTAATACATCAATTCCCAACGTCACAGAAGTAAAGGAGAACATGACATTTGGATCAACTTTAGTCACCAACCCAAAAGGAGGGTTTCTGGTAAGAAAAGGAAGAGTAATGATGGTTAATGAATGAGGAATTCTATGATCATAAATCTTCCTAAAAATCTGTTATATAATTTTTAATCTAATGGTTTTAATTTTTAAAATTTTTTTAAAGGCATGTGGGCCCTTGTATGCCTATCGATGTGGACATTTGCATTACACAACTGGAATCTGTTCTGATGTCAGCCCCACTTTTCAAGTTGTGAACTCCATTGCCCCTGTACAAGGTACAGATTTTATGCAGTGTTTTTGCAGTGTTTAAAAAGCGTAAGCAATGGATGAGATATATGTATACACAGGAGCATACCAAAAAGCTTGAAGTATTTTCTTGGCTACCAGCATTACCAATTTAGGTAAATGTTTGCTTTGCCAATATATAACCAAACCTCACTGCTGTTTTTGGAACTGATATTAGTGCAAGTAACCTTTACAGAGTCATATTTAATCATCATAGCTAAAGCTGTCACATTGTTTTTATTTAAAGGGTGAATTTCTTTGAGGAAGATAAACTCATTTGAAATACACAAGGAATGAGAACTGTATACAGAATTAATATTGAAAAAATTTCCAAAGATAACTCATACAGTGTTAATTAAAATTAATTAGAAATGCATTTTACTTGATGTGAATCCCAAACCAATTGTTAATGAATGCAGTGAATATTTATCACCTTTACTTTTTATTTAAAAAACTCTTTTTTTTTTTCTGGTTTTAAAAGTAATGTGTCCATTGTGTAGAACATCATCTTTTTTAAAAAAGATTTATTTAGATGTTTCTTTTATTTATTTATTTTTGACTGTGCTGGGTTTTCATTGCTGCATGTGGCCTTTCTCTAGCTGTGGCGAGTGGGAGCTACTTTCTAGTTGTGGTGGGTGGGCTCTAGGCATGCAAGCTTCAGTAGTTGCAGCATGCGAGCTCAGTAGTTTTGGCTCATTGGCTTAGCTGCTTCGTGGCATGTGGGATCTTCCTGGACCAGGGATCGAACCCATCCCCTGCATTGCAAGGCAGATTCTTAACCACTGGACCACCAGGGAAGCCCTGAAGAACATCATCTTTTAAAATGAGCTTCTTTCAACCATGAAACCATTTCATATTCCTCTAAAGATAGATGCCAAATTTGCATGGTTGACTCTTTTTCTTGCAGAATGCAGCACTCAGCTAGACATAGTCATCGTGCTGGATGGTTCTAACAGTATTTACCCCTGGGAAAGTGTTACAGCTTTTTTAAATGACCTTCTTAAAAGAATGGATATTGGCCCTAAACAGACACAGGTATGTGACTTCATGTTTTGATTTCTGTTGTCCTCAAGATACAAATGCATAGATTTTTAATAAGATAATATTCGGAATACAAATTCATCAAAAGCTAAAATTCAGGGTGAACTTTTTATTCCATATAAAATTGCCTGCTTTGACATACCTGAATTCAAACTGCTAATCACAGCTCTCCCCTCTCTTAGCACATTCCCAGCAATGAGCTTTCTCCCTGCCACTTGTTTTATCCATCCTGTTTTACCTTCTTATCCGTCCTTTCTTTCCAAAACTAATGACAGTCTTGGGGTATTTTTGTGTTAGTTGCTAAGCTGTTTACGACTCTTTTGTGACAGCATGGACTGTAACTCGCCAGGCTCCTCTGTCTATGGAGTTCTCCTGGCAAGAATATTGGAGTGGGTAGCCATTTCCTTCTCCAGGGAATTTTCCTGACCCAGGGATAGAACCTGAGTCTTTTGCATCGCAGGCAGATTCTTTACTGTCTGAGCCACCAGGGACCCTTGGGGAAAAAATGGAGTATTTTTAAACTCTGTAGTATTTTTGGGTCATCTGAATATTTGATTTTATTTTTACATTTATCTATGTAAAAAAAATTTTATTTTATTTCTATGTAGCTATCTGTGGAAATTAGTGCAGCTGTGACACATTTGAAGTTGCTCCACAAGTTTAGGAAGAAAACCTACAAGGCTATTTTAGAGGAATAATCTGAGGATTGGTGCCTGCAACTCAGTTTTGTAAAGAAACAGCTGACAATCAATCGCTTATACGCTCAACGAACTCTGCTGCAGTTCTGATGTTTCCATCTATGAGAGCTATAATTAATTTTACATTCCAGTAGTGAGTCCCAATAGAAGAGCTGTTCTGTCCAGCACCATTTGAATTCCAGCCTGCCAGAGTGAGCTTCGTGGAGTTATATGTCTCTCTGGGAGGGAACAGTGGCTCCATTCAGAGGAATGGGGGTGAACCCTGGGGTCCAGATGCTACCAGTGAAGGGAAGGGACACAAACTTGCTGAGAAGAGTCAGGTCATATTTCCTCGGTTCCAGGACCCGATTCCACAAAGAGAAAACTTTCAGAATGCAGCCCTGTGCACTGAGTCACTTGTAGTACCTTCAGATTTCACTCGAGGGAACCTGCTTCCTACTGAGGGAGGAGCTACTTCAGTTTCTGAGTTTTTATGTCATATTTTGCTTGCGTCGTTCATGGTGGAGTTTAGCCAGACTTATTCATTCCTTTATTTGGAGGTTTCTCCTGAGGGTTTGCTATGTACCAGGCTCTGCGTGAGGGCTTGGATAATCATGGAAAAATAGACAGACACGGCCACTGCCTTCCTGGAGCTTCTGTATAACAATGTGTCTCTAAGTGCGGCTCATGGAAGTCCCGCTTCGGAATCCCAGAGGTACTTGGATTGTACCCCAGACTTTAAGAATCAGAATCTCTGAGAGTGAGGCTACAGAGCCTACATTTAGAGTAAGCAACCCACATAATTTTTAACAGGTAAACGTTGAGAAACCATGGACTAATGAATTATTGTGTTGATATGTGTGGTGTGTGTGTATGTGCTTATTGCATCCTCCAGATTACAGGGACCTCAAGACTGAAGCCTTTATATCTCTTCTTATCCTTGTCAGTGGTTGGCCCAGTGCTTTGCTGGGCTTTTTTAGTGGCCCTTTAATGAGCACCTGTTGAATAAGTGTGTGTATCATACTGAATGCATTTTTGCATTTTTCTCTGATAGATGAACATTTAATGAGACTTTTTCATTTGCTGGGATTTTAATAGTTTTCTAAGTATATTATTTATATATTGGGTTTTAGTGTTTATACTTCAGTGATTTCTAATCTTTTTCTATGTTGGCTTAAGCTGTATTAATGACTAGTTTCATAAGTAATTCTCTAAACAAAAGGGTTTGAGAAGGACATTCACTAAGCCATCACTTTTGCCAAACTCTATTTAAAGTTTTAAGTACAACAAATTTAAATGCTCTTTAAAGTTTGATCTTCCTTTAGTGAAGTCAGATAAGAAATTCATTCATAGTAATTTAAAAAGAAATGTGTACTAAAAAGTATGCTTTTCTTTCATGTGGTCTTATAGTAATTCTCTCTAAAAACCTAAACAATTTGCTTTAGCAATCATTTTTTCTCCTGGTTGGTTGCTAACATAATTTAAATAGTTTTTTTTTTTAATCTTTAGTTTTTGTTCCTTTTCATCTGAAGCACCCATTCCTGCCCTAGGATTTGCAGAATTAGCTTCTGAAATTTTCCCTCCCCCTTATTTATCCTCCCTATCTCTCCATTCCTGAAAGGGGCAGCTACAAAAAAGAATTTTGAGAGGTATTACCCAGAAGAAGTTGCAAAACTGGAAAGTTAAGAGCTGGATACAGGACCCAGACTCCTCACCCATATCAAGGGTATAAAGGCACTAAGAATAGAGTTGGCCAAATTTGTGAAGAGTGTTTCCCTGTAGAAAGAGCCTGGTGAGAAAGGCTTTGGTGGGATGATACAGTGATTTTGGGAAAGCTGGGACACACAATTGCTGAGTGCCTGACTCCTACACTAAAGGGCAAGGTAGCTGTCTGGCTGCTGACAAACGAGTCACAATGCTGGGATTGGCCTCACACCTAAAGTTGTCAGTACAAAGAACGTATGTTTCTCGTATCTTGTCATGGAGTCATGCTTGCTCCTGTCCATAGAATCTCCTGGAAGTGAGTGGAAGCCTCTGCAAAGAACAGCTGACACTATCCCCAATTCCTAGGGATCACGGTAGTGAGATGCATTCACTCAGGCAAGGATGCAGGTGAAGGGAGATCTCCAAAGAGCCCACTAAAAAGGTAATACCTGTTATTAGCACCTGACCCTTCTCAGATCGGCACCAGTAGAATTTTGGTACCCTTTATTTATTTGTCTTCCCTCCCTCTGTCCACGTCAGAAATTATAGTCAGCAATCTAAGGGGCAGGAGCAGAGAAACAAAGAAACAGCCAGTCATGCCCCTTCCTCAACAGCATGCATCTCTCCTCCCTTGAAAGGAGGAGGAGAGAAGATTTAATTATAGATCAACTTGATGTTTTGTCTTGTTGGTTTTGTTTTAATGTAGATTGAGCCATATGAAATTGTTGCTATTTGATCATGTTTTTAACTTTTTATTTTATATTGGAGTATAGCTGATCAACAATGTTGTGACAGTTCCAGATACACAGCAAAAGGACCCAGTCACACATATACATGTATCCATTCTCCTCAAGTCATTTGATCATTTTGACTTCCAAATACAGCAATTTCATGTTGTACAGCCTAAATTAAAATATAGAGCTTTTTTAAAAAAACAGATATTTTAAAACTAAAAATAAGAAAAGCCATAAGAAAGACATTTATCTTTCCATCCAGTGAGAGTAGAATAATTTAACCCTAAATAAGTTTTACAGGGATCATGGGCCCCCCAAAATTTAGATTCTAATTATACCTTGTGAGTTCCTGTTTGTTATATTAATTACAGTTATTCACTTGATCAAGGTCGAGTATTATGGCCTACTTTCTGCAGTCATAGATTTTCATGTAGTAATTGCAATTATTGGAAGGTATTCTCAAAGATATGAACCATTTCTGGAAGTAATTTTCTCCTCCACAAAAAAAAAAAAAAGGAAGGAAGAAAGGGAGGGAGGAAAATAAATTTTAAAACTTGCGTTAAAGTTTCCATACGACAATTAGTATACATTAAGAAAATGCAATGCAAATGACAAAAACATCAACCCTAAATAGTTACTCAGAATTTCTCCCATGTCTCTGTGTGGTCCCATTAAGACTTTTGCAAACATAGTCAAGGAACTTTTGCAAACCAAATTTTTATCCAAGACAGAGTAAAGGCTATAAAATCACCTTTTAAAAAACCACCTATAAAAACAAACCTGAAGCACTCTGAGCTTGCCATAAAAGATATGATGGTATAAACATTATGGAGGTCTTATTGATCCTCAATACCTAAACATAACATTGCTTTTAATAATAAATGAGAATGATATAAATATGCCATATACAAGTGCATTACCCTAAATAAAACCAGTAAATTGTGAGGCTTGATATAAAAGTGAAATATACTAATGGAACAATGTCTAGATTGTTCCCATCAAGAGTGTAGCATAACATTAAACCAGGCAAAATGAAAGGGGGAAATTAATTAAATTTTAGGAATATTATTTATCTTTCTTTTTACTACACATTTTATGGCCGTTTCCTAGGAGCCTTAAATATGAGGTCTGGTGCATTGTTCTGAGGTCTGAGAAGGCTATCTGAGGCGTGCAGCCAAACCCTGGTCTATCAGGTTGTGTTGTAAATGAGGTGAATCTCCTTCTCTAGCCTCTTTGTCTCTGTTGTCCGCTATCTCCATCCATCACTCATCTGAATTACTTTTCCCATGTAAAGTTCAGATCATGACATTTCCGTGGATAAAAATTTCCTATCTCTGTCTGCTGAATAATACCCAAGTTCTCCAGTGAATTATAAGGCATTTGTCACCTACTGCCTGCGCACTGCCTCCTTCTTTCCTTGCCCTGCAGTCACTCCTGCCTTGTCCTCCCCTAAACACATTGCTCTGTGTTCACAGGATTCTCTCTGCCTGGAAAGCCCTTCTCCACCCCAGGCCCCACGTGCTAGATGAACTTCTGAGACTCAATGCAAATATGACTTTCTCTATGGCTATTCCACCCACCCTTGCTAGGAGAAGTCCCTTCCCCTCCACATCCCCACAGCATTTGCACACAGTTAATCAACTGCTCTCATCACTCAGAAGCATCGCTTTTTGTTTCATGATCCCATCTGTCCTGGTGGAATGTGAATTAAACAATGACAGTGTTGTGCGTTAATCCTTATATTTATAGAATACAGTTCAGAGTTTGTGTGTTGCCTAGCAAATAGGAAGCAAGTCATTTATGTTGGAAAAATGTAATTTCTGGAATTTTTAAATTTCTCTTTGTGTTAAAAATCATTATTGTAGTGACCACCATCTCT